TATATCGATTATAAACTATTATAAATGAACTACCTCTTTAGAGATGAGTATAGTTCTTTAATGATACAAGAATTATATTTTTCTTTTTGACATTGCTTCTTAAAGTTTCTAGATAGCTATATATTTTGTTATAGTTAGTGTATAAAAAAGCTTAGAATATACTTTCTATAACAGTATGATATGAAGTATAATTAATATTTTTAGAAATTAGAATTTGATCATGTTCTAGGAAGTTTCTTTTATCAAATTAGATAAAATAGTTTGTTAAATAGCTTTATTTTTTTTTTTATAATTGCTTTACTATATACTGTTTTATGTTGAACTTTAAGATCTTAATATATGCTAAAAGTTAGAAATTGTTATCAGTTTATTTAGCTTTATTTTTTAGTAATTTTTATAATAGTTAAATTTATAAGCTAGAACAAGCTGATAATATCTATTTATTAATAAAAATTGTATTGAATTATCCAAAGTGATCTAAAATTCTAATATTTTCTAGCCATAGCACGTAAAGTATACAATTGACTCTGCAATAATATTATGAACTGTAAATTTTTTACTTTATGGTATAATCAACAGTAGACTTTATATACTGTAGATAAAAGTATTAGCATTTTAGAAAGCACTCTAGTTAACTTGTATTTGTTTGTATAGTTTTAAAAAAAATAATATATAAATTATTTATATTATGAATACTATATATAGTATATTTAGTACTTATAATATTTAGAACCTATAGTATTTAACATCTATAGTGTTTAACACCTATGGTGTTTAGCACTTATAGTGTTTAACACCTATAGTGTTTAGCACCTATAGTGTTTAGCACCTATAGTGTTTAGCATCTATAGTGTTTAGTACCTATGGTGTTTAGCATCTATAGTATTTAGTACCTATAGTATATTTTAGTAAGCCCTAATTTTTTTATTAATATTAGTTAAAATTTTTTAATACTAACTAAAATTATATTAGATATTTGAGCAAATCTATCTATCTTCTAAAAAATTAACTAATAAATATTAGTTTTTAACAGATTTATGAGCAAGAAACTTATAAAATTTTAAATAGTGAAGTAATATAAACTTTTTAACAGATTATATTAGTAAAAACTTAATTTGAAAGAAATAATCTTTATTTAAGAAAATATAAATAAATCTAATTTGTATATTAGCAATATTAATTTAACTAGATAGTTAACTAGTTTAGAAGTATCTAACTATACTAGAGAAAAAACTTCTAGTAAAAATTTAAAGTTAAAATTAGAATTTAAATAAATATAATAAAAGTTGAAAAAAAGATTCTTATAAACCTTATACTATTTGTAATAGCTAAACTTATAGATTAAACTAAAACAAAAAATAAATAAAAATTATGACAAATTGCCAATCTGAATAGTTCTAATAAAGCAGCACAAGGTTATATAATTAAATTAGATATAAATAAATTACAGTAAAAACTAGATAACCTTAGAGTAGAACCCTTAAATAGACAACCTAAAATTGCGGTGCCGCTCACTTCACTGACAGTCATTTCACCGAAAGTTCATTTAGCCGACATCACATGGGGTTAGGGTTAGGGTTTGATTAGTTTCAAATATATATTTTTAGTAAATTGTCACTTGGCGTGATGTCGGCTAAATGAGCTGTCGATAAAATGATTGTCGGTGAAATGTTACGGATCCCTAAAATTGTACGTGTGACTAGTTATATCTTCATAACTATTAATTAATAAAATTAGCCATAACGGCAATTAGCTACGTATCGAAAAAAAAAATCATAAATTTACATATAGAAGTTTAATATGCCAACTTATTTAACCAATGAATGCAGCAACTACGTAGAAAATAATCTATGCCTAATACGGCATATAAAATCAAAATATATATTGACGTATATACTGTATTTGTATAACAGCAATAGAAATATGTTAATAACCAATTAAACGTTGATACCAGATACGTAATAACAATAAGTTATTGGTACGTATTACCCAGGTTTAATACGTATCAATATCGATATGTAAATATAGTTTAATAATTATTATCTAATATGATAAAATAACATACGTAGCACATTATTTAATAATTTTGCATAGCATCGTTTTGTCGTTCGTGTATATGCATAAATTATTTTACCTATTATTTCCGCAATTCAGGCCAGCCACTTAAAAATTTTCAAAGCCAAGTATCGGACTAGGATTATTAAAATTAGAAAAGTTTCGAGTCTTACTGTATTGAGTCTTATTAAGATCCAAGGTTTTTTTCGTTTTTTTGTTATTTTTGTCTATAAAAGTTACTGTAGGTTTTTTGCGAAAATCCTGACTTTTATATCTAACAATACCTAAAATTTTTCATCTTCTATTTTGCTCTTTTTAGTTTATATTTATGGTAAAACAAAAAGATGCGCCAGCCTTCATTATATGCTAGTAAATGTCTTTTTCTTTTTGAGAAAATTAACATTTTTTTACGACATTAGTAACAATTTTTTTGTAGTCCGATTGATCGGACCTAAAAATAGATTTTGAATAATTTTTAAAGGGTCATTTTTTTGTCATATTTTTCATTGATAAGTTATCATGTATTTTCATCAAGTTATCAATGCTATATATTTCTCGTCGACAAGTTACTGTATATGTCGTCCCACGAAAATTACTGCTACACGATTTTATCATACGAGTTTAATTTTAGCTTTGTAAGAGGGATCCTTACTTTATAACATTCCAAATAAAATTCTATCATTCTAAAATAAACAAATTGAATAAAACAATTATAACCATTTTTAACTTATTTTCTTACATATATTAAACAAATCATTCTTTAAGTTTTGAATTTTTTTTAGTAAGCGAGAGTGAAAAATATATTGTTCTAATTTTTAACTTTTAAAGAAGTTATTGCTTACAATCATTGTGAAACGCAATATTGAAATTTTATTATTTGTTTTTTTTTTTTAATTATTCGTTACGTATAACATACTATGTAATTATGTTTCATGTAAGAAAACTCGGAAATGGGAATTAATTGGTTCCAGTATGCGTATTCACAGGTAACACTTCAAGTACTTCCATTATTGGAATATCGAAAATATAAAGATCTTCAAATTGATTTGCATAGAATTCTGCTATTTTGTTTTTTAGAAAAAAAAAAAAAAAAACTTACCTCGCTGGATCGATGGTATAATAGTAAAAAAAAATTTAATCTATTAAATAATTGGATTGTATAAATTATTGTTTATATAAAAAGGAATAATTCACATATTTTGTGAAAACCTTTTTTTATGACTTCTTTTTCTTAGTTGACTTTAGAATGATTATTTAGTTAGTCCTTTCTAGATTAATTTAGTACATTTTTAATTTTTATTTTTTATTATTTTGTTACTTTGAAATTATTTTTAAATATGAGTTCACCATTATCAAAGAATATTAAAAGTTATCATTATCCATGGTCTCAAAAACAATTAAACAAATTTAATCCTTTTCCACTTCATGGTCTCTCTGTGAGTGATCGTACAATAAATAATGAATTATTTCTTTTCGGTGGATTCAAAAATGAAAAAGCTACAAATGAATTATTTGCTATTGATGTTAGTGAGTACGCGGAAAAAAATATTAAATTCATCTTTTTATATTTTTTTTTTTTGATTTTAATTCTTTGATTTTTTTCGGTGTAGATGATTTTACAGTTGTTCCAGTGACAACTGCTTCCGGTGATATTCCTCGCCCACGAAGTCATCATACAATGATTACTCTTGAAAACAAAATTTTGGGCAAGTTAAATCTATTTTACATGCCTATATTAACTTATTAATATTTATTAATATTAAATAAGAATGTATTAAATTTTTAGTATTTGGCGGTGGATCAGAAAGACCTGGGGATAAACTAGATGATAATATTTACATATTTGATACTGGTAAAATTAAATTACAAATTTTTATCTGTAATATTTATTCATATACATAGATAATATAAAATTTGACTAAAATATATTATATTAGAAACAAAATACTGGTCAAAACGAATTTTAAAGGGACATCCACCTAACGGTCTTATTGGACATTCTATTTCTTTAATTGGATCCGTTGTTTATATATTTGGTGGACAAAATGGTATAAAATATTTCAATGATATAGTAACATTTGATGTTAAAGTTCTAAAGTTACAACGAAAAAGAAGTAGATTGAGTAAATTTTCTTTAAATCGAGGTAAATAACATTATTATTTTTTTTTTTTTGAATATCGTATTATTATAATACAGTATATTAATAGTGAATTTTATTAATTTAAATAGCCAGCTCCTCGGGCTCTCATTGGACTTACATTGTGCCAAATAAAAGTGATCACTCTGTTCCGTCATGTAGGAGTGGTCATACTGCTTGTGAATATAAAGAAAATATTTATATGTATGTCGTTTTACGAATGTTGAAAATATAATTTAGCCGACATCACATGGGGTTAGGGTTAGGGTTTGATTAGTTTCAAATATATATTTTTAGTAAATTGTCACTTG